CTTCAGGGTGCAAGAATGAGCAGGGGAAGCACCCGAATGTGACTTACTTGAAGAAGTTGGCAAACCTTCGAAGGTCTCCGAGTGCAAAATCGCATAAGTCATCCGCATCTTCTATTGCCAGCGCACCGTCCAAGCAAACTGGTCTGACATAGTGACAACTTTCTTTTGTGGCTACCTTTGGAAAAACAGTGAGTGGCTCACGGACTCATGGTGTGTAATATGTCGTGAGGGTGCGGGGGTGGTTGAGACCACTTGAAATTTCTCATTCAAAGGGTCCCGCAACAACACACATCCACATGTTCCAATGGTCCGTTATGCTGAGGCAAGAAGCCCCGGCAATCAACACCGAGAACCAAGAGGAGGATGTGTATGTCAAGACTATGGAGCTTCTTGGGCTTCTCGGCAGCTTTTGCCTGGCAACGGCTTGTTGAAATTGACTTGGGGGGTTTGAAAAATCAACACAAAGCCTCCTGTCAAGGTTGGCTCCGGACACGGCGGTCAGTTTCCTGAACTATGAGAACACCAAAGAGGACTGGCGAGATGTGGGTAGGCGCATGCTATGTGTGTATATACGTGTACATTTACATGTACATGTGAGTAAAGAATTGTGCTTTTGTGTACACATAGACTCGCATGTGTGAGAGTTGACCAAGCTTGTCATGCTGCTGGGTTTTCCAAATGGTTCAAACAGTTTTTCGCTTGAGCCTGTAGTTCCAACTATGTCAAAACCAGCTTGAACAAAGGTTTCAGCGTTCCAGGAGCTGGAGTCTGTGTATCAGCCTGGCCAACAGCTTCGCAGTCTTCCAGCCCCTCAAGAACCGGACATGATGCCCGACGATCTTCAATTTGGTGAACCAGTTTGCCCACGCGAGCAACTCAAATTGTCAGCGGAATCTTGCCATCATTTATGTTCTTTGGCCTGGAGACCTAATATGGAAAGCCTAAGTGTAAAACATGTTGAGCTTTGAAGGGACCAGTGTTTGTGCTAAAGGGGGGAAGTGGAAGTTCCAAAGTTTAAGCTCAAAACTTTGTGGCAAGCCGGGGCTGCGTCGAACCCTCGCCTCATGAGGCCAAAAAGCGGCCAGCGCCAAATCTTGGGGCCCCTGACAACGGCGTCAAGCGGGACAAGCAGGAGGAGTCGGGGGCGCCTGCCGAGCCAGCTGGCCAAGCGACCATGAACGGCAAAGAGAATTTAATGCCAATCCCGGAAGGCCAGCGACTTTCAAAGTCGCAAGTACATTGGGTTTACAAGTTGACTGATGTTGCAGTGATGTTGCCTTGCTACAATATTTTGCCAGGTATGCCATCTGAAGCCCTTCCTCAAGTGGCTCGAAAAGGCCGCTTGAGCTACACGATCAGCGCCAAAAGCGCAGGGTGGAGGTGTTGCTGAAGCACAAAGCTTTCCGGATCTCAAGGTATGTGGGCGTTGAAAAGCCCGTTGTCCTGCAGCGAGCTTGGAATGAGAACATTTCGAGCTGCTGGGAGGCTATGAAACCACTTTCTGGGTGGGATGAGCCTGCGGCTGTAAGCAGTGCCTGACTGCCCGGCCACTGGGTTCTGTTTAATCACAGTTGTCGCATTAGCGCACAGGCTGTGAACCTGACAAGGGGTTGATCGGGGTGGAAAAGGTACCGGTCGCGTGACTGGCGCGGCGCCACCCCCCACAAACACACGACTTCTTCAACTACTATAGCGCTGTCGGCTTTTGTGTTTGTTTCCAAGTATCCTCACACGGTTTCCAAGGACCGGAGCGCCAAGACAAAAGATGCGTTTGTAGAACCTTAGCAAATTGAGCCAGCAACAGTTGATGGCAAGAAGCGTGCGCCAATGAATCTGAATTCCGTCTATAGAGACAATTGAAGAAGGGCACTCATGTGTTACATTTTGGTTGGCTTTATTTTCCAGAAAAAAGGGAACCCTTTTCGGCCAATGTGTTGCGCGTAGACTCAGGCAATTTTTAGCAGCCTTAACTTGTATGTACTGCCAGTCGACGGGTATGTACTGCCAGTCGACGGGGTCAGCCCTTTAGCAGCTGTACTGAAAGCTGCTTGCGTCGAAGCATTTTGGTTGGCTTTATTTTCCAGAAAAAAGGGAACCCTTTTCGGCCAATGTGTTGCGTAGACTCAGGCAATTTTTAGCAGCCTTAACTTGTATGTACTGCCAGTCGACGGGTCAGCCCTTTGCTTTGAAAGCTGCTTGCGTAGCTGGCCAGGGTCGACGGGTCAGCCCTTTAGGCTTTGAAAGCTGCTTGCGTCAAAGCATTTTGGTTGGCTTTATTTTCCAGAAAACAGGGAACCCTTTTCGGCCAATGTGTTGCGTAGACTCAGGCAATTTTTTGCCGCCTTAACTTGTATGTACTGCCAGTCGACGGGTCAGCCCTTTACGCTTTGAAAGCTGCTTGCGTCAAAGCGTGCGAGGGTCAGCCATGGGCAAGGGATTGCGCGTCTTAACGATTCCCAAGAAGAACAGGGATGCCGTTGAGAAGAACATGAAAGAAGACATCAAGAAGCTAAAGGCCTCTCAAGAGAACAAGCCTGGGCTACAGCAACTTTCAGATTCCATGTGCGAGATCGAGCGGGGCCTGACGCGCAGCAAAGCCTTGTCCACGGACATGCAGGAGAAGGCCTGTGCCGCAGCAAAGCCCGCGTGTCCCGAACGGCATTTGACCCGTGGCGCCAAACGCTCCCTTGTTTAAGTGTTGTTGAAGCGTTCCTCAACGTTTTATTGGTCTTGTTTGTTTTCCAAGGCCCTCTTCCGGGCGAAAGTTCTCGAAAAGTAAAGCAGGACACCTCGGGGTGTAGGGGTACTTGTTTAAATTGATGGAAAGTCAACGTGGCAACAAAGCCACTTGTTGAAAGACCGGTGAAACACTTGATGGGTTGCGCGCTTAACAAGTATTTTTGCCCCTCTGGGAAACCTGGCTTGGTTTGAAACGGTGCGAGCCACTGTTTTGGACTGAGCTCCAGCAAGTAAGTGGTGCTGTGAAATTTTACAAAGCTCTTCTCACAACAACATTTAGCCGACCCCTGCAGTTGAATGGCACCCTTGCTGCATTGGCCCTCATTACCGCACCGAGAGTTGTCATGCAGCTTGTCTGCTTGATCTTTCGGTGTGTGGGCGAACTGCCCATGGACTTGGACATGGTGGAATATTTTGCCGGCGAGATGGCAGTGACGCGATCGTGGGCCAGGAGTGGATACAATTGCGCGCCTTTTGAAATTAGGCTTTTGCCATTTATGGACATCCTGAGCCCTCAGGGGTTCCTGCCTTACAAAAGTAGTGTTGTAGCTCTTGGCCCAGTTTTCTCTTGTCACGGGCCTAACCTGTTTGAGCTCCAAGGTTTGCGTTGGCGTTCTTATTGTCTCTTCGTCTTCGGCGTGGGGGATTCAGCATGATTGCCACCGTATGTTCATCGTGGGTGTTCCTTTCCCGCTCCTCGAATCTTGGATGAGATAGTAAACAAGCAACACACACACAGGTGGGATCAAAACAGTTGAGACTTGTGATGTTTTGCTTTTAGGAGTGGCCGCACTATGTGGCAGCCGCTCGGGTTTCAGCACTTCAGGTTTGTCTCTGAAGCAAACGCTCCTGGGCAGCATTACTCTTGCAATGTGTTAGTGCTTGGGGTCAAGACCATGCTCTTCACCGCTGTGGATCAGGTCATGGTCAGCCGCATGTGTCTGATTTTATGGCTGCTGGAAGCCAAGCAGTGCTACTGGTTGTATGAGCAGCCCAGCACCAGCCTGTTGTGGGAGCACCCGAGACAACAGGAGTTTACACGCGAACGCTCAGTTTACCGGTGCTTTACATGGATGGGGGCCTTCAAAGCTGAAAGCCCGAAGGGCACGCACCTGTACAGCTCGCGCCCAAACGTTGGAAAGTTTGCTCGCAGTCTCCCAAAAAACCGGAACTGGAGCTCGGATATTGTGACAAAAACAAAGCTTTCCGATGGACGGTCATCGATCTGTGGAAGCAAGGGGCTTAAGGCCTCGCAAACATACACACCCGAGTTTGGAGTGACTACACTTGCAGCGTGGCTCTCTGAGCCAGAGCTTCCCATCCCGGATTTGAAATCTGCCATCATCCCAGCCATTTGGGCGCCGTTGACCAAGAAAGAGTCTTGGGCAGATGCCAACATTTGTGAAGTGATGCAATATCTCACGGTTGGTTAGCCCGGCAGGGTCCGTTGTGTGCAAAGAGGCTTTCACGCTTTTGGCAGCGTTTGATAATTTGATGCGTGTGTGTGCACACGTGCTTGAAGCAAAGCAAGATTGCGATTGCCGCACGTGGGGGAAAATGGGAAATCGATTGTTCTGATTCTGGCACGAGCGACTTGCCTGTAGGGCCCTTTGAACTGCACCCCGCCCATCTGCCCAAAGACTAGCTTGCCTGCGGCTGGGCCAGGCAGTGCACGGTGACCTTGCGAGCTTCCACATCCGCTGCGCTGAGAAGGTTGGGACTTTCAGTTACAATGCACAGGGTACCAATCAAGTATTGTTTTGAAGGGTGTTGTGGAAGAGGGTCTCCCTGACACAGTTTCTTGAACACACACCACTTGCCCAATGTTTGCCACCAAATCTCTTTGAACCATGTTTCCAGCTGATTCCAACAGCAGTTAATTGGAGTGGCAAACAGATGCTAGCCAGAACCCAACAAAGACACTTCAATGGGCTTATCTACAGGCTTCCCTGCCCAGCTGTTGCCCTTAACAAAGGGTTTGAAAGGGAGTCAACAGGTTTCCCTCCCTGCTCAGCTGTTGCCCTTAACAAATGGTTTGAAAGGGAGGAAGGTAGGCTAAACTAGCATGGTGCCGGAACTCTGCCAAAAACAACCGTCACCCAAGCCCCAACATGGGTAAACCACCCTCCGAAATGCTTTTTCAGGGGTTACCCCAAAAAGGCAACTCGTTCGGGGCGACCCCTAAAGCGGGTATCCTTTTCAAAAACCTGCAACCCTCCAAACGGATCTTTGCCCGTGTGCGCCGGGCACGCAGGCCTTGGATGAAGCGGGTGGCTTCTCTATTGGACGAAGACCGAGTGGATGGAGGCAGATAGGGCGGGCTGGCTGTTCTTAAGGGGTCCCAACAGAAATGCACCACGAGTGTCAATGGAGTCCTGTGTACGGTGGGACCAGTTTGTAAACCCGTGATGCCGTTACTACTCCGTGATGGTGCCGTGATTACTCGTGAAACTTCACGCTTCACGCGTTCTGCAGTTTTGCCAGCAACTAGTTGGACTTGGTTTGCCATCATGCCGCCCCCAGTGCCTGTTCACCCGAGCTTCACAGCTGGCGGGGCTTCTTCTACTCCTTCGTCAGCTGTCGCGACCCCCCAGGCTCGCACACAACATGTAGAAGAACGCCACACAACTCCTGCAAACATCAAACGTTTCTTTGATCCTTGCACTTACCGGCCAACAACCCCTCAGAAGCGGACCGCCTCACCTTCCACACCGAGCTCAACAGGGGCAGTGCCAAAGGCAAAGCTGGCAAAAACAGAGTTGTTAGAGAAGTTCAAGCTGGCAGCCCAACTAAACGGGATTGCCTGGGATGAGTTGGCCGAGCCTAGGCTGAGTCTGCAACAGTTTTTTCCAAATCCCACACCCATCATTACTTCAACCAATGCAACTTTGTTGAAGTGAGTCTACCACACTTTCACAACCCCATCATTACTTTAACCGGTGCAACTGTTTTTCTAAGGACGACATCTCCACTGCTGCTGGCTACGTGTCCTCTGCGCCGTCGGAGTCGCATCGTGATGAGGACATGATGGGCACAGACGTGGATGGAGAGGAACCAGATGACTTGGACAAGTTTGAAAAGGAAGTGGAAGCAGAGTTGCAAAGAATGGAGGAGGAAGAAGAAGTGGAGGAGGTGGAGGAGGTGGAGGAGGTGAACTTGGAGGCAACTGAGCGCGCTCACCCCGCCTTTACGCAAACAGCGCAGGCACACCCAGCACTTGCGCAGTTGGCCCCTGCGCCGCCGCCGCATCCCGCCCACCAGCCAGCAGCCCCCGCAGCCCCCGCGCCAGCAAGCCCTGCCCAGCCAGCTGCACCGCCAGCCCAGCCAGCTGCGCCGCCAGCCCAGCCAGCTGCACCGCCAGCTGCGCTGCCAGCCCAGCCAGCCGCGCCACCGGCGCCGTCGTTGCACGCGCCTGCGCCACCAGCATCCTCGCCGCACACTGCGGCGCCCCCTTCGCATCCTGCTCAGCAAGCCGCCCCGCCAGCCACCCCAGGACCCGCAACACAGACGATGGGTCCAAAAGCACCCAAGATCACTGTGCAAGAAGACCCACCTCCAGCCCACGGACAGACCCAACCTGCGTTCCCCCCAAGCCAGCTTTCTGCCAAAGCTGCCGAGGCAGTTGCGTCAGCGGCGCCAAAGACAGGGCAGAACACAGAAGCCGGACCAAACTCAAACACCCACCGAGCGGAGTACATGGCTTTTCTTCGATCAGCAAGAAACCCGTAACTGGGCACCAACAGCTTTTTGTTTGCGTGTTCGCAACTTTGAAAGTGGAGTTTCAAGAGCTATTGACCCTTCCTAAGAGCAACCAAGGTCAAAGATGGCCAAGACCCTGATCCCCACTTTTAACGGTGGAAATATTTCCCGCAACGAGCTCTTCAAAGTCTGGCTGGAGAAGGGCCGTGATTTTTCCCAGGTTGAGGTGGAGATGAAGCGTCGCTGCGTGCAGAGCAAGTCGCATGGCGAGAAGGAAGTTTGTTGGAGCAGGCGGCAGTTGGAGATGGATGGGAGGTACGACAAGAATGAGGTGGACACCCTTATCGCAAATGCCACTCGGACCGGCCGGTTTATGGACGACCCAAACTTCCCGGGCAACGAAAAGCTTCGCCAATACTTCTTGGTCTTGGAGACTTCGAGGGAAAAACGCAACACCTTTGAGGAAGAGCAGAACCTTCGCTCAACAACACGGACGTCAGCCGATGAAGCCCTTGCCCTGCTCACGAGCGGCCTCTTCACTGAGGACGCTGCGCTGGAGCTCGAAGCTGCCCCTCCTGCTCTCAATCCTGAAGAGCCGCAGGCAAAGGCCAAGGGGAAACCCAAAGCCAAGAGCAAAGCCAAGGCCAAAGCTAGCCCTTCCGCGGGCCAATCTATCCAGAATTCTCAAGGAGACCAGGGTTCCCCACAGAATGCCGAAGAAGTGAAGGAGACCACACCCCTTGAGAAAGCCACTGCTTTGAAGAAGGCAGTGCTTCTTGGCTTTTACAAGTCCAACGGTCTTAGTGTGTCAACCGATGTTTTTAAACTGTCTTCTAACAGTGCTAGAATATCTTGTTCAATGCATCCGAACACTGCTCACCTAGGTTGAAGGAAGCTGAAGAAGCTCGCACAACTTGCGTTGCCATTGAGGGGTTGGAGTGCAGCCAAGAGCTCAGCACGTCTCTACAGCAACACGCAGAGGTGATGACTGAGCTGTATCGTGTGCTCAATAAGCTCACGCAGGCCCAAGTGAATGATCAAAGCGCTTACTCGAAGCTGTTTGACCAAGCGAATACGTACAGCGCTTGGTACAAGGCTCGAAAGAAGGTGGCAAACAGTATGCGCCAGGCGGCCACAAGGGCCGATTAAGCATGTGAGGCTTGGTGGTTCGAGGTGGCATGTGGGAGTCTATTTCCAAACCATATGCAACTGCCTGGTTTCCTCATATAGCAGCCAAGTTCACCATCCGTGGGCAACCGCGCCTCACGCCTAGTTTTGGCATCCAATCTGGGGGCTTGTCACTCGTGTATGGATGAGTGCAGGGCACCAACGCGTGAAAATCAAAATTGGCGCTTGCATGCTCAGCCTACTTGCACGTGGTCAACCCTGGCCTCTCTCTCTCTCTTTCTCTCTCTCTCTCTTTCTCTCTCTCTCTCTCTCTCTCTCTCTCTTTTTTTTTATTTCTCTCTCTCTCTCTCTCTCTCTCTCTCTCTCTCTCTCTCTCTCTCTCTCTCTCTCTCTCTCTCTCTCTCTCTCTCGCTCGCTCGCTCGCTCGCTCGCTCGCTCGCTCTGTGGCGCTGTGCCAGGCCTTCCCCGGCGGCGGATCAAAGCAGATCGGCCTGGAAGCGGGCTGGCGCGTGAGATCTTGTGGGACTTGACCCGCGGGGTGCCTTGTGTGACCGGACGTGTTTTTTCATTTCAAAGCGCAAACAAAAGGGCGCCTTTTAAAGCAACCAACCCCCGAAAAGGGTCCCTTCAAAGCAATGATTTGCAACTCGGCAACCTTTCGCAGCAATGAGTCTTGAATGAGGATCTTTTTCTGGTTAACCACCCCCCACCCCTCCACCCAGGTCTGCAAATTCCAAAGCGCCCATAAACATTTGTTTTTAAGCAATAGATCTTCCTCTTCTGGTCAATACCCCTTTTGGTTGCTCATTGAACTTGATTTTTTTCTCCCAAATCAAAAAGAAGCTGAAAACAAGCAACACTGTGTACGCCTGTCGGCAACCCTCTCCATAACAAGGAAAGTGAACGGGCACCTTGACCGCGCGGGCTTCTTGATTGGGTCGCGTAACCCTTTTTAATGTTTTCTCACACTTGAAAAAAAGCACCGCAGGGCAAAGGGTTCATGACGTATTTTCAGTTCGCGCTGGTTCGCTTGTTGATGAGGGTTGCCTGAAAAAATGCTGACGCACGGACACACACATGAGGGGGTTCTGTGAGGGCGCCCTTTTTGGGGTTGGATGTCACTTGAAAGAACAAACAAAAGGGCGCCTTGGCCGGGTTTTTACAGACTACCAAAAGAGCTTTGTTTTCACAGGAGCAGCCATGACCCATGAAATTACCGCCATTTCGTCGCGGGCTCAGGAGATTTGCGTGAGCACGGCCCAACGTTATGCGGCAGCAGCGTATGACGACGGCCTCACGGAAGACACGCTTCGTGCTTTAGCGAGTTTGGCCTGCTGGGGAAAACACCAGCAAAACGTGGAGCGGGACTTCCACAGGTGGATGCCGTACGCGCACGGGTCTCGGCTGACAACCCATTCAACTGTGATCGAAGTTTATGATCCCGACACGGCTAGTGTCCAACAAAAAGAAATCCCAATTTTGTTGGCGTCTGATGTTTTGCATTCTCTGTGGAGTCGGCAGAGTGACAAGCTTTGGGATGTTTGCGTCGGGGTTACCTCAGAGAAAACCTCCGCCTTCTGGACAGCTGCTCAGCACGACTGGGCCTCCGCACATCCAGTGGTGAAGCCATCAGGCTGCGTTTGTGGAGCCTGCGGGTTTTGCTGTGTGCAGTTTTTCAAGTTTACTGTTTTCCATTCACAGCGCCTTTGCAAGGGCTTGAGTCAACCAAGGTTGGGTTTACAACACCAGGCCATCCCAGAGCCTTGGCCAGCTTGTTTGCTTTCTGTGGGTGCTACAAAAAGCAAATCATTTAGTTGATTCTTTCTGTAAGGTCAAGTGGTTCACTGATGGAGCACAGTTCAACACCAACCATGAGCTATTGATTTGGATGTGGAGCTCCACATTGTCCTCAAAGAACTGGAGCACTAAGTTTCCCTTTGCAGCAATTCCGATGCGGTACCTTCCATCCAAAATGCTTAGGACCAAAGCCAACAGGGCAGTGGTGCAGGCCATCAGCTGGGATTGAAACTGGGTAGCGATGTGAGAAAGTGGTGACTTTTCCACATTCTGAAATGTTACGGGGTCCTTATGTGTTGAGAAGATTCGCCCTAACATCGCTTGTCACAGACATTTGCGCTAAGGTAAGAGCCTCCTGGAGGGGCGCTTTCCTCACACAGATCAATTTGGCAACGCTTTGACGGGCGACCGAGCTCTCAAGGCAGGGGACCTGATCTGCGGCGGCTGGCGCGCTGCCTTTGAATCTTGGACTGGGGATTGGAAAGAGCGTAGCCTCTCGCACGAGTTCGTGAAAAGGAACTACCAAAGCATGCGGATCTGTGACCAGTGCGAGGCTATCAAACCCTTCGCCAAGACCCCTGCAGCATTGCTGCCCTTGGTGTTCTCCAACTTCAGTTTGGACGCCCCGTGGACCAAGACAATCCGAAACCATGCAACGTACTTGCAAGAAACGCCGCCCTCCAACTTAACTCCTTGGCTCGAAGTACCCGGCTTCGACATTGCCAGGGTCAGGTGGGATTCTGCTCACACAATTTTGTTGGGGGCAGGAAAGGACCTGGCTGCAGCTTTCCTTGTTGACCTCGCTTTGCGGCAGCATTAGCTGTATTGGCCGGGGGCACGCTTTGAACAATGACCCAAACAAGCGCTTTTCAACTTTAGGCATAGAGTCTACAAACGCTTTGCCTTCCCATTTTCTCAGGTCGAGCTCCCCATCCGAGCCCGCCTGCGTGCGTGTGGGGCGGCAGAGCTTCGCAGCCTGCAGGGCGTGGTGCTGAGCTGTCAAGATTCCGGGGAGACTGTCATGAACAAAGTTGGAGTGGCCTTTCGTCGATGGTGCAGGAGCAAGAAGATTGAAACCCCGCCATGCACATGGAACTTACACCTCATTGGCCGCGGTGATTCTGACTGCAAGACTGAGTACCCAGTTTTGGATTCCAACGTGAAGGCTTCCCACACCAAACCCATTCTCTTCTTCTTGAGCGAAATTGCGACAGAGATTTATCACCTTTGCAAGTGCCTCCTGACAAGGATTGAAAAGTACTTGACACATGCGCGGCATATTTTTTAATTTGAAAGGCATCCCCCACAACCCAACTGTAACGGCTAAGGTTCTGGGTGCAAAGATCGATCCCTGAGTTTGTGGGGTATGTGCGACTACCTCTGGGTAACTGACCGGCCGGACATCCGATTGGGCGAGGCTCTTCGTTCTCGTGGCTTGAAAGCAGGGGTGACGTGCCTTTCTGCTTATGGGCGGCGATCTGCCCAGTCTTTGTCAGCTGGGCGCTTGAACTACAAAATCCGCCCGAAGTGGCGCTCAGCTTCAACGTAGAAACTTTGTCCTTATGGTTAGTTGTTTGGCGAAGCAAAATGTGTCAATGATTTGTGTGTTTTGAAATTTGCTGAGGCATTCCCTGGCTCACCTGATCCATGCCCTCCAGTGGAGTGATGAAAACTCCAGGCACCACAAGACTCTGGCGGAGGAAGACATGTTGGGTCATTTGACCCAGTTAGCCTCAGCTTGCCCTGGAAGTAACATTTTGGCACGCTTCTTTCAACGCTTTGGGCTGTTCCTGGCAATGCACTGGGAAAGGATCATTGAGGCCAAAGAGGGCATACCGGAGAAAGGCTGAGCCTCCCAGCCATCGCAGCAAAGCTGGCCATTGCTGCCTGTCACCTTTTCGCGCCAGGTGCTGTCTACCTGTGTATAGTGCATGTGCTGAGTCTAACGATTTTGCTGCGCTCTCAAGTTCAAAGGTGCATCTCCGACGCAGAGCCATAGGGGTCGCGCGGCTCGTGCGTTCCATCGCAAACTTCGAGTTGTTTCAAAGCGTTGGTAAACCCATTTAGGGTGGGAGGTTTCTTTCCAATTTCAACTCAACACCAAAAATCGAAGTGGCCCCCCCAGTGGTCCAAGTTCTGTAGGCATTGTTCAACAACAGCCTTGTGTGAATCATTGCTTTGCTTGAATTTGACCATTTAAAGAAACAGTTCCAAGCATGCTGTAGCATGTGGAAAACATGCAGTTTGATTGACATTCAGAACAAGGGGCCCAAAGGAACCAACGACAAAGCCAAGTCAAGAACAACTTGTAGACTATGGTGTGGAGCCCGGAGAGCAGTAATTTCTGGCTCAAACAAACATATATATATATAGATAGAGCTAGGTTTCTGAGTTTTTTGGGTTCTATGTTTTCTTCAACATTTGGCTCAAAGATATTGTGCACATAGTCCTTGCAGACTTAAGACACAGTGATAAAAGGCTTGCAGACCGCTTTCGCAGGTATTGCAAACCACACCAGAATTTCTAGTTGACCTTGATACGGCTTGGCCTTGCATGCGTGACTGTACAAACTGCGGGCCCGACTAATATGTCGCCGGAGCCTTTGCGACCATATCTCATCCTTGGGGGGCTTGTAACTTGCTCCTCGGAGCGTGCTGGTGCTTATATCTGCCTAATTCTGCCTATGCCCGCTGAAAGCATCCCAACAAACTCTGAGGTCAAGCACGCGGCGAACCACCCACCGGGAGGCCGGAAGACTGGCTCGACATCGAGGATTTCCGTTTGCCCGTAGAGCACGTGTGAGGCGTAAAGAGTGCGAATGAGTGCGACATCGCGTGACAGTCTGCGGCAGTCTCTGGATGTCTCTGGCATGTCTATGGCAGTATCGTACACGTGCAATGGCACGTGTATGATCGTGTATGGCAGTCTCAATGCAGTCTCACGATGTTTCACGCTGTCACGATACGATATATTGCGTGTGGAGATGCTTCGAGGCAAAACATATGCGCAGTGGGATATTGCTGTGGTGCGGAACGGCTGACTTTTGGATGGTGTATGCTGGTGTTGGGCAAAAGTGTGTGTGTGTGTGTGCGCAAATGTCAGTCCAGCCAAGATCGACCAAGATCGCCAAACCCACCTCCTGGAATTTTCTGGAACTCAGTCCACTGTGATTATTTGTGTATCATTGTGACGTTTTACGTATAGAAGGACCATGAAGGAATGGGAAGCAGATTGAAGGAGCCCCAAGTGACCCCAGGTGAGCCCCTACGAAAACGTCTTCGATGCCGGCTAGCTTTCGAGCATTTTCGAGAGTTGTCAGACGTCAGACGTTGTCAGTGTCGTCAGGATATTGTCGGGCGTCAACGTGGTGTTGACATGATGTTGACATGTGTTGACGTTGAGTGGCAGTCAAGTTGTGGAACATTGTGGAACTCTAGATGACATCTAGATCGCTGGGCCGGGCCATTGGACAGCGCCCCGTGTCCCAGGCCAGTCATGTCCGAGCCGCTTGGAGGCGACGGGTGGCGCATGGTGGCGCCGCTGGCAGCGAGGCTCTGGACAGTCCATGTAATGTCCATGTATGTCTACGTTCGCTGCGCTGCGTCTAGCAGCGCAATCCCCATCAGACCCTTTGGGACGTTTTAGGCCCATGAAAGATCATATCAGGCTTCCTTTTGTGAAATTGTACTTCCTGCCAAGATGCACAGAGACACAGACGCCATGAGACACCGGCCTCATCCGGCCTCCAAAGATGTTTTGGGAAGATTGTATTTTGATGTTTTTTTGTGTGGTCTGCGTTGATCTGCAAAAGTGTGACCAGCAGTGAATAGCAGTGATCTTGCCTGTCTTCTATGGTCTGCTGGATTCTACTGGTATAGGTTTGGTATTGTTCCCTGGTGGCTGTGTAGGGGGGGCAAGATGATGGCAAGATGATGCAAGACGGCACAAGGGACGCTTCTCCTAGTTCTAGAATGTTGCTTGGGTTTCTCTTAGATCTTGGGGCTATTTGAACTGGGAACCAACGAGAAGTAATGAGAATCCCCAAAAAAACTTGAACCGAGCCATCTTACAGCTTTGTCGACATTTCGAGGTCGTGGGCATTTCCGTACGTGCATGTGCGTTCCGGCTGAGTTGCAGGTGGCTGCGGGCCAGGAAGTCCGCCACATCAGCGGTCAGCGTGCGATCAGCTGCGTGATGCTGTGTGTCTTCGGCAGTCACCGGGATGTCACCGGGAGATGCCGGCGGGATCCGGCTGGATTTGCCAGGATGGTTCAGGAGCCGTGAAGCATCGCGAAGCCATGCAGTTCATACTCACTTCATTTCATTTCGACTTTTTCGGGCTTTGCGTTCAGGGGAATTTCAAGGGCGGTGGGAAAATTGGGTTACCCATTTGAGGGTCGGTCATGCTCAGCGTTGCTCGATGTTGCTCGGCCGCATACGCTTGCGCATATGTGTGTATATGCTACGTATATGACCGCCGCGCTATTTGATACGTGGTGGCTCTTGGATGCTCTTGGGCCAAGCGCGCAATAAGACCACACACGATTCAATCACGCCTACGCAATCCTGCGCGGACGACATCATGACGACATCGCATGACATCACACGACGCTGCACGCGCGCACATTATCACACATGGATTGCTGTTGCGTGATGCCAGGATGCTATAGGATACCCGATGGATACCCACAACATCGTCGCGACATCCCGCGACTTCCCGAGGGAACGCTTTGCTATGCTTTGCTCGCAATTGTTTGCATATTGTTTGCCATATGTTTGCCGCAGAAAGCTGATAACATGCTGATAGCTGCTGTCTTATGCAGAATTCCGCATCAAAGGCCATCCAATATCATCCAACGCTCAGAAGATTTGCAGCCAGCCGTGGCACGACATGACATCGACATGACATTGATATGACATGACATAACTGTGTGTTGACACGTGTCACCAGCGCGTTCAGGCGCATGGCGAAAGTCTTATGTGTTCCTTACATTTTCCGCTTCACGTTTGTGCAGGGTTGATCTGGGTTGCCTTGGGATAATTTGGGCGTCATTGCGTGGCCAACTTAGGTGCTACCACGAGATGCCCTTCCGGTCAGTGCTGGAGGTCCAGCGGCACCCCAATTGCCCGAGGCCAGCGCGGGTGAACGGCATTCTGGCGAATGTCTTGCTCTGCCAGCGCAGCTCCGCCTTGGAGCTGTTTGCTCGAGAGGCTAGTCAGGACTGGCGCGCAGTCGTGGCTGAGGCTAGGCGTGGCGACAGTCAGACACCACAGTCAACTCCTGTGCAGAAGGCGCGTCAAGCTTTGAAAGCGCTTTCCAATAGGGAGCTTTGCCGGAAGCGGCATAGGGCTGTCAGGTAATGTCAGGTAGGACAGTAGAATAGTGTAAAGTTATGCATGGTCAGTGTTGGCCAGTAGCGTGCAATCACGCCGTGCTGTCGTGCTCGAAACAAGCCGACCGCGGTGCTCATTGGTCTCAGAAGCAGGTTGGGCATGGTTGGGCGATCCAGGTTATATCTAGGGCGGTTTGGCCTTGGTACGCCATGTCATGCCATGTCTATGATTTGCGATTCTTTGTCTCTGTGACATTCTGGAACCATCTGGAACCCAGTGTGCGTCAGTGTCAAATTTGGTGTGCCCATTGATGCCCGTTGGCCATCCATTGGCTGGAGCATTTAGCAGCGACTCATTATGACTCGTTGCAGTGTCCTACCCGCCTGTGAGCGGTTGCGAGCGTGCGTGTGTGTGTGTGTGGCTGCACAAGCCTATGTGAATCTACACATGTCTACACCATTCTACACCCCCGGAAAATATCGTGGT